CCTGGGGTACTCACGTTTGGAATGGGGAATCGAAATTCATGGTGTTTCAGTAAATGGGAGCCCCATTTGGGCCCCATTTACTGTCAAATATGACACTGACAAGCGGGAAGTTTCGCACCTGTTCTGGAGATTTCTAGAACTATCTGGAATACCTGGAGAAAAGGATATAAGCGACGACGAGAACCAGACGGGGAGTGAAGTGACAGTCGCGTCTGAGTGCAGAAGAAGTTAAACCCGCGAGTCGGAAATCCGTGTTTTCCGTGTGTTATTGTTATCGTTTGTGAAGGTGACATTAATTTAGAAGTTAGTTTGTTCCTGTTCCGTAGTTAAAGTTGTACCGAGTGGAATAAAAGTTGTAAGTTGAAGAAAGAGTTAAATACTCGGCCATCCACGGTACAATATTGAATAAATGTCTCGAGCAAGGTAGGATTTCAGATTCCTCGAATAATGCACAAGTCATTCTTCTCTTCAAAAAAGGCGACAATCGGAACATCGAGAATTATAGGCCAATTCGAATATTATCTGTCTGCTATAAGCTGCTAGCGAAAATGATCACTAACCGTCTGAGCCAGAAATTTGATTTCTACCAACGTACGTACGCTGATCGAGAAATGTATGGAATATGATATCCCAATGCACATGGCTCTCATAGATTACCTACCGGAAGCCATTCGACTCGATCGAAACCTGGGAGTGGTAAGGGCGATAAACGGAACCTGCGTATACTACAAATATACCAACTTACTCTGGTACATCTACGGGCATGCCACCCTGCAAGTTAAAACTAACGACGACTGGACCACTGGAAAGATTCCTGTAAGAAGGGGCGTTATACAGGGAGACACAATATCACCTAAGTTAATTACCTTAGCTTTAGAAGACATATTCAAGTATTCAAGTTTATCGTGGGAACACAAGCGTATCAGTATAGATGGGCGGCGTCTCATCCACCTTCAATTTGTTGATGATATAATTATATTCAGCAGCGACCCAAATAAACTGGTAACAATGATCCAGGAATTCAAAGATTGAACTTTCAAAAGACCAAACTTGTGAGCCCTGAAAGTTTAAATGTCTCTGTCGGTAATCATGATTTGGAAGTGATCAATGAGTACATATACCTGGGACACAGTATCCAACTTGGAAAGGGAAATCAGATATCAGAGATCACCAGAATAATCAATCTAACCTGGATAGAATTTGGAAAACCTGGTCACATCCTTCGCCACCCGACTATCCCAATAAATTTAAAAATGATGTTTACGATATGTGCATACTCCGAGTAACCACATACAAACTGAAGACAGTAACCATTACCGTAGGCAAAGCCAATCGTGTTAGGGTCTGTCAAAGAGA